TATCTCTCAAAGTTTCTAGCTGTTATGGTAATACAAAAGTCAAGTACATGTACATGTACGTCAGTTTAAAATGAAGATAACTTACAACTGAAACTGACTATTGTTAAGTAATAATGTAAGTTTTATTAGTTGTTGTTTGTGTATTTTCAGGGCACTATCAGTAAATTATTGTGTACTGAAGGAGGAGTGTATGAACTAGACAATAAAATCAAGTAATTAATTAATCTATTTTATTATTATTATTATTATTATTATTATTATTATTATTATTATTATTATTATTATTATTATTATTATTATTATTATTAGGTTATTGATCCATAAAGATATGGTTGATTATGGTCTGAGGGTTGGGTCAGTAATTACAATAGATAATGTCCACCTTATCAATGAATGGTTCTGGAGAGGATTCTATTGCTGCATTGTCTCTCATTTATTACTAGTCTCATTCTCTACTGATGGAACTAATCATCATCAAGTAAGGACATGTACTTGTATAGTCTAATACGTTATATATACTGATGTAACTGGGAACTGTTCTGAACCATATACTTGTACTTATGTTGGGTAGGAAGTTTAAACTGGTTCCAATCAAGTTTGAATTTTTAACAAATTTTTAAAGTTGCTACAAAATTGGGCTAAAGTCCCTGTACTATAGTACAGTGTCTTGGTTTTGCCAAAAATGAAAAGTTGAGAGTTGTCAATTTTTATTACATTATCTGATGCATATACATGTTCTTATGTTGTGTAGAAAGTTTGAACTAATTCTAATCAAGTTTGGATTTTTAACGAATTTTTAAAGTTACTCCAAAATCAATTAAAAGTCCCTGAACTACTACTATAGTACAGTGTCTCAGGCCAAATTTTGCCAGAAATGAAAAGTAGAGAAGTCTCAATTTTTATTACATTTTCTGATGTATATACATGTACTTATGTTGTGTAGAAAGTTTGAGCTGATTTTGATCAAGCTTGGATTTTTTACGAATTTATAAAGTTGCTGCAAAATCGGGCTAAAGTCCCTGTACTATAGTACAGTGTCTTGGTTTTGTCAAAAATGAAAAGTTGAGAATTGTCAATTTTTATTACATTTCCTGATGCATATACATGTTCTTATGTTGTGTAGAAGTTTGAGCTGGTTCCGATCAAAATTAATTTTTTTACGAATTTTTAAAGTTGCTCCAAAATTGGACAAAAGTCCCTGTACTATTAGTAACGCGGTAGCGTTACTAAGTAGGATTCACCCCCAAACAAAATGGCTGCCACGACTTTTGCAGCCTTGCTATACCGGGAAAACGAGCTCCTATGCTTACCAGACTTCTTAGAGGACCTTATCTTGACCAGAGGACTCCAATGGTACCACTAGCGTGGCTCTAGACCTTTTCTGGGAGAAAAATCAAAAATCTGCAAACCGGCCGTTTTGTTCAGCCACCTTTTTTCATCTTCATCTTCATCATCATGATCTCCTGTCAATCCAGTTGTCGGTCGATATATCAGTCTTACCTGGTGATAGAAGGCTAATTCTTATACCATTCTACTCCAACAGGCTATGCGCAGGTCCTTGTCCCCTAGAATCATTCTCCAAGAAAGGAAGAAGTGATACTGTGACTGTTGGATCGCACCAGCTTACCTCATGCCGCCATTTTGTTGATTAAGAAGCATGTGCTCCAAAAAATTGGGCGTGGTCGTGCATGCTCAGATCTCAGAACTGGGAACAGCAAGTATATTTTTACCTAGCTATGCTTGGAATCAAATTGCAATACTTAGTGGAGGTTTCCAGCTAAGAGAAGGTATTAATCTTGCATATATCAAGTGTGTAATGAATTATTTTATTTCAAAAACACAAAACAATTAATTAATGTTATAATACTAATGATATATATATATGAACTTGACAACAGGAAGAACCTGCAGGAATAGCTACAGGATTGCTGGGAAGATAGAGCTTCTTGAACAAGGATTCACGTCAAGACTATAGTATTCATTTCACTTGTCATCAGTATAGTAGATATTCCTTCACCATATCTATTCAATTCAATCAGTGCTGTCCCTCATAACTTAATGCTGTAAAATCATAACAATGACAA